AAAATCAACTACAACAGAACAGTGTACACAGTCCACACAGGAGCACTTGAAATGTCCAGCTTAAGTAAGTGGGGAGGCTGAGCCACAGCTCCTGCCCTGATGCCAGAGAGGTTAGTTCCTCCCCTTATGTCCCTGGTTCCTTTCAAACTGCTGCCCCAATACTGGAGCTCAGAGGGAGTGAGTCTGAGTAAATCCATGCATGGGCCCTTTAAAAAGAACTGTCTGGGACTCCAGCAGTTTCTATGTCACTCAGCTACAATTCCTACTGGTTTTTACAGCCCGAAGATACAGGGGACTTCTCTTACCCATACTGGAACCTGGGCTAAAGGCTCTGGTGTGAGGCTGGGACTCCTCATTCCTCAGGGGGGATCTGAACAGCCAAGATATCTCTCCTGATTTAAAATCACCACATGTGGGTGTGGGACCAGCCCTTCTGCACCTCCGCCCCTCCTACCAGTCTTGATGTGGCCTGTTTTGTTTTTTGTTTTTTTTTTGTATTCTTACCCGAGGACATTTTTCCATTTTTTGTTTAGATAGAGTGGGAGGGAGAGAGAGGAAGAGAGAGAGAGAGAGAAACATCGACATGAAAGGATGTGGCCTGTTCTTTAATTCCCTAGTTGTAGGACTTCCATTCAGCCAGATTTCAGGTGGTTCTGAAGGATGGTTATTCTGTAGTTTAGTTGTAATTTTGATGTGGAGGAGGCAATACCATGTTTACTGACACTGCCTTCTTGACCTCAAAATATTTTTTAATAAAGGTTTGGAAAATACTCTGCATCCTCTTGAAAATTGGCTTAGAAATAACTAAGGTTGCCCTGGCCAGTATGGCTCAGTTGGTAGGAGCATTGTCCCATGCACAGAAGGGTCAGGGGTTCGGTTCCCAGTCAGGGCACATACCCAGGTTGCAGGTTCAATCCCTGGTCAGAGTGTGTCACAAGGCAACCAACTGATGTTTCTCTCTCACAATGATGTTTCTGTCTCTAAAATCAATAAAAATATATCCTTGTGTGAGGATTAAATTAAACAACAAAAAGAGGAATAATGAAGGTTGCATTTTATTTGAGCAAGTACAATCTAGTATAACAAAACAGTTTTCTCCTTTTAGTCATCATTCTCCAACCTTGCTGGAATTATTTGTGTGTAAAGAGAATCACTCTGAATTAAATATCTTATATCTCATTACATAAGTTATCACATAGTAGCCCATGGCAAAATGGGTTTTTGAAGAACAAACTGTGTTAAAAATACATCTGGAAATATGAAATGTACTTATGAGAAAATGAATTTATATGGAAAAAAGCTACACATTAAGCATAAAGATTAAGATATACCAAGCTTAATTAATTCAGAATCAGGCCTGTATCTTTAGGATGACCTTAGAAAAGAAGAGGCACATTTAAATTTCCGAGAATTTTGGTCTACTATGATGAAATTATGTCATGCCTAGCCAACCGGCAACAACTCTGCTAGTCTCAAACATGTCCAAATCGCTTAATTACTTTTGATTGTAATCCAGAAAAAACACTGTGTTGGTTCCACAGGTCCTCATTATATATGTTAAAAGTATATATACGTTAGGCACACAGGAAGCAGCATATGTCACACAAGAAGAGTATATGAAGAAAACTAAGAAGTGTGGTTGCTGATGGAACATGTCCTCAGTTTCAGACAAGCATGGTATTCAAGCGCATTTAAATACAGAAAAGTTCATTTCCTTTATTTTCCTATTTCAAATGCTTTAGCCTCATGAAATACCTAGTTAAATATGACAAGGTGGTCTAATCCCATAATCCAGTATCATTAATTTCTATATGCAAAAGTCCTAATTCTAAAACTTGTAAGGTGAAAATAATCCACAAATTCAGCTCTGGATTCTACACAACCATGTTGTACAAGATGTAGATAGCTATCCATGCAGCTTCCAATTTACTGCTTGTTCTGTTCAGTGAGTTTGTAGGCAGTATCTATTGGAGGCTGAATGGAGAGTTATAAAATACTATTTTACCAGCACATACTTTGGTTTCAGGTACAAATTGAATGAGCAAGAATTCAGGTCTAGTGCACCTTTGAGAGCTCAGCTGATTCCTACCCACAAGCTGTTCCCACCTTCCCAAGCAGAGTAAGCACTCACCGTCTCCTGATGGCAACCACTGTCAGTTGCATACACTTTCTTCCAGAACTAATTTGTTGTATTCAATATTGATAGCCATGCCGCCCCAGGAGTTGAATCTTCACTAGTAATGCAGTGCTTTTATTTTTTTGTGATTTTTGTTGTTGTTGTTAATCCTCACCAGAGGATATTTTTTCCACTGATTTTTTTGGGGGGTGGGGTGGGGAGCATTGATGTGGGAGACACATTGATTGGTTGCCTCCCTCACGACCCCAACTGGCCTGGGGATCAAGCCTGCAACCCAGGTATGAGCCCTTGATTAGCAATCAAACCTGTGACGCTTTGATGCATGGGCCACCACTCTAACCACTGATCAACACTGGCCAAGGCAGTAATCCAGTGCTTTTAAATCCATTCTTCTTGCCAATGACTGATTATGATGAAAGTCTAGCTAGTGAGACTCAGAGGGGATATGCTGCTGAAGGTCCTCTGTGCAAGTTGTCCTTGCTCTACAAACAGGACAAAAGGAAGGGATGCTGCCTGTCTCTTCTCTGGTGCCTGAAACTGTAGCAACAATAGTAGTATCAGAGGACCCAGCCTAAACAGGGAGCAGGATGGAAAGGATCTGGCAGTGATGCTATTAAGTCACTACATTAAGCAACCCTAGAATTTCCTACCTCTGGACTTATTTGGTGAGGTAATAAAACTCTATTTTTAAAGTTTTGGGGAGAGGAGGGCACATCTATTTCTGGCCCCAAGTAACCAGATGCAATCCTCGTCTTCTGTGAAATAACTACTAATTTTATAGAGTGAAGCACACACACATACTTTTTTTTACACCAAACTAATTCTTGTGTGAGTACTAACAACCTGCACCATCTCCTAAATTCAAACTCCTTGGAGCAGTGTGTGTGCTCTGAATTCTGTCTGGAGGACCCTCCTCTGCAGCACTATCACGTCAAGGTCCAGTTCAAAATCTGCCTCCTACATGAATAGTCTTATGAAATCTCTGCCTACACCTTTCTCTAACACTTGGCATTTACTGCCTCTAACTTTCTACATCTTGTCTACCAATTCTTGCACCTTCTCCGTGTCTGCCATTGGGCACACCTTTGACTTAGTGACTAACTGGACAAATGACTGAGTACAAAGCACCATTTTCCTTCATCTGAAACATGGGGTTTTCCTTTCCTCTTTTCTTCATTATCTTCTTTCCTCATTATCTTACTTCTCTATAGAAGACAAAAATTGAGATAAAAGAAACTCAGAGCTCAGACTCTGAAGGAAGAATAAGTATTTCTAGAGAAAGCCCTTCTGAGAGTTACAAATAAGTGACAGAATTATGAAATGGGGGGAATAGCAGTCAGACGCTATATAAATGACCTTCTGTTGCTGTACCTCTCAATAGGTATTGGCCAGTTCTACTACTGAAACTAGAGGTGCGGTGACAGCATCCTCAACGAGTCAAAAGTTATAATAGAAAATATAGTAGAGTCTATATTTTCACAGAGTAGGCCTTCAACAAAGGTCTCATGAGTAAAAAAGAGAGAAGACAGCATATGGTTATGGCTTTGGGCTTATACCTTGAAACTTTTTATTGTAAACATAGAATGAAATGTTGATACCAGTAATAACACTGCTGTCTCAATGCAATGAACTTCATCTAAATGAGCTGACATAAAAATATTGATTACTTAATGTAGACTTCAAGCTGTTTTGAAATGGAAGATAAAATCTTGGGTTGTTTTTACTTTAAAACTCCTATCATTGTTACCTAAAATTCAAAATAAAGGGCTATCAGCAGGAGATTTCCAGACCATGTTCAGAAAGGCCTAGTTCACCATGAAAGCTGAACCTTTAACAGTTGTTCTTCCGTGTAAAAGCTCTGAGGCCATCCTGATGACATGGCAGAAAGAGCATTTGCAGAAATCAGACCCAGTGTAGAAATCAGCTCATGTACCCTTGAAGGTATGCAAATACAGTTCTCTAACTTTTAACCCATTCCAGGTATTAACAATTTGTAGTAACTTTCATTAGATAATATCAAACTGACACTGGAGCTTTTGCAAGATCTTTTCTATTAGAGTAAAAACTGTAGAAAATGTTCAGATAGTTAAATGACCACCGAACACTACAAGTGTTACCAACATGGTTCTATTAAAACACTCTCCAATTACGGCATTCAAGGACAGCAATACAATATTTTCTTTATAAAGCAACTAATATAAAAATCTGCAAATGCTATAAATTCATTTATAGGCTATTATTTTCATAAAGGCATGTCATTAGATTCTTTCAATTCTTTCTTGAGGTATTTTGTGTGTGTGGTTTACTTTTATTGTACTACTGAATGCATTATATTTTATGATCCTTTCCTAAAATGATTTTTTAAAGACCTGCAGAAAATTTTATTGCATAGGACACTATTCAGACACAGAGATTGGGAACTGCAAATATATGGCATTGGAACAAGTCTTACAAATACTGCATTTTAAGAATCTGATAAATACAAATTTTTAGTTTGTCTCTTTTAAAAAATTAAAGTTACAGTTAAGTTAACAACGTACAATGAAGCATTTTAGGAATGTTAAAAATTAGAGAATATGATAAATGATACAAAGGAAAAAAGCCATAATTCTTGCCGGCTACATATTATATTGCCTTCAAAAGTAACTGTACATGTTGTAATCAGTTCACAGTTAAATATTTCTACTAATCTGTTTTAGGAGAGCAAATGTATTTCAAGGTTTCAAGTTCCTCTATAAGCTTCTTGTTCTGAACTTCCAGCACTGCAACTCGACTCTCCAGACATTTTACATATTCTTTCTTTCGACGTCGACATTCTTTAGCAGCTTCCCTGAAAAAAAAAAATAGAAGCAAAAGGGCAAACAAAACAATTTTTGCATGCTATTGACAAACAGACTGAAGTAAACTTGGTATGTATGACATGGTTGCACTCCAAACCTTGGAACAACATTCCAAATTCAATTTCAAACACTAAGCCAAACCGGATTCTTAAGGGTCACAAATGTCCCTTCCATATGTCCACATGGCAATTAGTAGAATTGCTGCATCTCCTGCCTTGATTAGAGTTCATAGTAAACAAGGTCCAAGTCAAAGACAGTTACTCTGCTTTATGGCAATAAAGATCTTTAAGGGCCTTGAGTTCCTCAATGAGAGTCTTGTTTTGGTTTTCAAGCACAGCCACACGATTTTCAAGACATTTGACATATTCTTTCTTCTTCCTGCGACACTCCCGGGCAGCTTCCCTGGAACCAACACAAGGCAAATGACTCAGGAACAACCTTCCAGCACAATCCAGAGGGGATCAGTGAGCTTTGGCCCCCCAAACTCAACAGGCAATCAGTCCTAGGTAAGGTCTGTACAAAGCCATACAACAAATGTACCCAAACAGTGTTTTCTTAGGGCGTACAGTCCATAACAGTGACCAGAATGGTTTTCAGTAACCCAAAACAATAGAATCACATCCCAAGTAGAATTTCCACAAAAACATTTACAGATCTTTTCGATTATCTTAGTTATTTTTGTCCACCAAAAGCCACACATTCCATCACAATGAGTTAACTTTATTTGATCAAAAATTATTACAAAAAGTAATCCTCAGAAACCTTAAATGTCAATATTGGAGATTTTAATTCTTCAAGCCTAAACCTCAGTGAAACAAATAAATCAATCACAACTGCAAGAAACAGTTTATTGGATGGGAGACAACATGGATAAAAATAATAAATGAATCATAAATCATGTACATTTTCATAAACCAAAATGAAATGGACTCTGCTTCTGAAAATTAAAGAAGAAGGGAGGGGTACATAATACAATACTCAATAATTCAGACAATTTAAATCCAGGATTGTAAGAACACCACAATTAAAATCATGAAAGAAGCTACTGAATAACTCAAAAGTGTACTTCAAGACAAGCATTTACTATCCAATATACTGAATTTTAAAGTACCATAGGCATGTCCAAAGGAAAGGATAGACCAGCAGCCAAAGCAACAAACACAGTAGATGAGTTGCACTCATTTTCATGCATAACCCCACCAAAAAAATCCCCACAATGAATACAACCAACATTTGCTCTCTCCTTTTCTTCAGGGTGGGAGGGGGTGGCAAGTATTTAATCCCTCTATAGGATGTATCCTGATAACGGTTTTATTTTGGAGTTTTCAATTCATAATAACTGCCTTTGGGGTATCCTTCACATAAAAAGAAATCCTACATTGAGTGACAATTCAAGTATATTTTAACAAAAATTGTGTTGAATATCTAAACACCAGTTACTGTAATGCCAATGACCACTGCTGCAATTCTGAACTAGGAGTGAGTGATACATACAACAGATTTGGCCAATTCTGTTTTATTTTTAAGATAGTTGACTCTAACTAACAACAGGCTATCTGTGTTTTCTGTGGGAAGCAAAAGTCAGAAGAAAAGAAGAGATCTTAAAATCCCAATGAACTGCAAGAAAAGATCAACTCCTATTTCCTAGCCAAGAACAATGCACTCACCCAGTGAACCCACAAAGGTCTCAACTGGTTAACAAAAAAATAACAATATACAAGTGAAATGAATTTGATAAATACAGATTAACTTAATCTAAATGATGCACAGGGAAAAGTTAAAAATAAATCCAAGCACACTTATAAATTTGCCAGTTTGGGAGCACAGTTCAACTCTTCCTCAAAGGACCTAAAAGACATTTAATGAAACCAAACTTTTCATGATTAAATCATTCATTATATTACATTCTAGGTTTGGAGAGAAGATAGTCATTTTACAAAACAAGTCACTATTTAAATATCTAACAGCATTGTTGTGGGCTGTTTAATTTTTGTTTACCAAGGTGTAGCATTTACTGTAAATACCCATACTTGGTATTTCATGTGCATGCATACACATGCTACCAGAGGCAAATGTTCCAAGCACGAAGCTTTAAATGATCACACTAGTAGATAGCAAATTCCTAAGTACTTCTCAGGTATGGAAAACACCTGTTTCTTCTATTAATAGCTCAATTTTCAGACCTTGCATTTGTCTGGATATATCTTCAGCATGGAGAGAAAATACATGGTAAACAGGAAAAGCTGACAAGGCTGTAAAAAAATAAAAACTGTCGCCGAATTGGTAGAAATATAATTAAATATCCATTATAAATGCTAGCCAAAGAATAAAAAGAGAAAAATGTATAAAAAGTCTTTCACATTAATGAGTAAAACCTACATTCTTTCCATGATGTTAAATCTGAAGCTTGCATTGAGGTCTTTTTGGGTGACTCTGGTGTTGGTGCAGCAGACAGGCTCTGGAATAAAACCTGAATGCATATCCAGGTCCTGTCCCATGTGCACTGTGTGATATTAACCAGCTTATTATGTAAACTCTCTCATCTGTAAGGTAAGGATAATAACCAGACCTATTCTCATGTGAAAGTTACATGACAGTTACAGAAACAGTAGTTATATAAAGCACTTAAAATTTGCATTTGGTAGTTACTCAATAGATACTGAAGAACCTAATAGCCATTTATTATCTGCTTTTCTTTTGTCTTACTCTGAAATTGAGATTTGGAAAGCTAAAATAGACCCTTCTCAGAATCCCTTGCAGCTAGGAATTCTATTAGCTATTTCTAGTCAATAAACTGTGGGTGAAAGTTGCTGGCAGGATCTTCCAGGAAGTTTTTAGAAGAGTCACACTCAACTATCCCCCATTTTTCGCTCCAGTTCTTCTCCCTTGTTCCTGTCTGATGTAATGGCTGGAGGTGTGTCAGCTATGTTGTGATCAGAGGAACAAATGTCACACACTGAAGATGACAGAGCAGGGAGAAGGAGCCTGGATCTTGATGGCACTGTGGAGCCTTTGTTCTGGCTGCAGGTACCTCTGGACTGGCAATATAAGATCAAAATACTACCTACAAGGTTAACCCTCTATTGCCTTCGGTTATTTAGAGCCCAAACACAAATGCTATCTAATAGTTATTAACAAATTATTTTTTTAAATCCCAAAATGTTATGATTTTTTTCCTTCAGGGAGAGCTCATATGTATGTGTAGGTAGCTGTGGGGCACCTTTTATAGCAACCAACTGCCTAAATATTCTATTTCATTTTGGTAGTCTAACAAAATATTTTAATCTAAAAATAAAGGTATAAAATGACAAAAAGGAAATAAGTCTCCCTTCTTCTTTTTTATTTTCTGTGGGAAAATAAGATATAGATAAACAATTTTGCATTATCATGACACTTTACATTCTAAACTAAACTTCACAATGTACATTCCTTGACCAGAGGGGCAATTATATTCATAGTTCCTGAGATGTCTGAAAAGTGCTGTTTTAAAGTATCCATATTCTTCCATCTGCTCAAAGTTAGGGATTTTCGATAACAAGATCTCCACAAAACAACTATGTTACTATATGATACTATGCCCATTCAGCCCCTTCAGAATTTCTGAGCAAAATGCTGACAATGCAAAATGTGAATCCAGTATGACTTATGAACCTGGAACAATCACTCATAAAGATGTGTGAATCTAATGATCCTATTTCTGGTAATCTGGCGAGTTCCACAGGGTACAAAACTCCATCTCATGATTTGTGATAACTAATAAGCTTGGGAACTGTGGCAAATATAAGAAACCCTATAAAAATCAAATTGTAACACTGAACGGGCTATTAGGAAACTGAATATAGCTGGTCGGCTACTCCTATATTTAAGGGCAGAGCGTGCACGCACACATGTGTGCGTGTCTGTGGGGGGGGGGGGTTGGTGATCAAGGGTCACGTGCAAGTGGTTTTGATGTGCTGGTGGTGGCAGTCACAGAGGTGACACTGCTGGAGGTAGAGGAGGAGGAACAACAGGCCCACCAGTGCTGCGGTTGGGTAAGATGAGGCAACTGAATCGTGGAAAGAGAAGAAACTATTGACAGAAAGCAGATGTGGCATTTCAAGTTTTATCTCCTGTGCAGTCTTCAAAACATTCGAATAAAAGTGGGTAAGGAACACAAAGCTCAGAGAAGTTGTGATATGTCTAAGTTAACCAATAAGAAGAAGTACTTGGCCTAGGAAAGTGGAGATGGTGGTGAAGTAAATGGAAGCTACACAGATTATCTCCCAGGACCAAACTGGAATTACAACTAAAATAAAGATAAATTGTCAGGGAAAACCAACTGAAGAGCAGCTGGAAGAGAGCCAGTACAACCAGGGACAGAAAGAGGATGCCAAATTGAGCCTGGTAGGAACTGTAAAGGAGTGTGGAGGCAGGCTGGGAGCCTATGGACAGTAGCAGACAGCTGCATTAGTGGTGTGAGCTTCCCGCTGAGAAAATGGGGAATATTAAAAGCACCAAATCAGCTACACCACTCACCTTGGACTCTGGCAGAGGAAGGATGGACTGGACTGAAACTGTGTGGAGAAAGTCCAAGGGTACTGGCTCAGGAGAGAGCTGAGAGCTAAAAGGGAGGGCACGAGAGTCTTGTACTGAATCACTCCCTCACAGGACAGTAGCAATCTTATAGAAAGAGCCCCTTCCCAGAGTCCCAGGGAAAGCAATGGTCCCTCCTGCAGGAATTCAACAACACCAGACCAAGCCAGAGAAATGCAAATTGAGGCTCATTAACATCTCAAGTCTGATAGCCAGCAAGTGCCCCACCTGCTGGAAATCCTCTTACATCTGAGAAATTTTTTCATTTAGCTGAGAGCCACAAATCCAGGCTCATCACATAACTGAGACTAATAACTTCCAGGAAAAATCTACAGGATATAGAACCTTTCCTGGGATTGTAAATCTACGCAGGAAAGTAAAACTCAACAGTGGTGTTTAATGTGGGTCTTCCCATACGCATACATATCCAGTAGAGGGAGCCACAACCAGCAGAATACTAAACACCCACAGAGAAAATCTGGAAGGCTCCAAAACCCACTGAGACAGTCAAAATGGTGAAACAAAGAAACAACCCCCCATGAAAGACAATATAATTCTGCAGAAGAAATAAATGACACAGATTAATAGGAAGAGTTCATGAGGAAGCTCAATAGCATGAGTAAAGATATGGAAACACTGAAAACCAACCAATTGGAAATGAAAAATGAAATAACACAAATAAAAAACCCATTGGAAAAAATAACCAACTAAGTAGAGAAAGCCAAGGACCAATTCAGTGAATTGGAAGATAGGATAGAAAAAAATTACCCAATCAGAAAACCAAAAAGAAAAAACAATTAAAAACCAGGAAGACACCACAAGAGAACTGT